CGAGGAAGGAGCGGAAGAGCAGATGAGTCATCGCTCGCCGCGAACGTCTCAGGATACTTGTCCACCGCATAGCTTCTCTCCTCTTTCGTTTTTCCTTCCTCCTTCCTTCTTTTCCTCCCTTCCTTCTCTCTTCCCTTTTCCCTTTCCTTCTCCCTTCCACTGCTGGGCCAGTAGACGCGATGAGGGAACACCTCTGGACCTCTCACAGGAAGAGCATGTCGTTCGGTGCATAACCCGCCGTGAGCCGCGTGGTCCCTCCTCCGAATCCGATAGCGCCCACGGCTTGATGCTACGTTCATTGTGCTCACACTTCCCTAGTGTACATGCTTGGCACCCTTTTTTCCAATAATCTCATTAATTTCGTATTTTCCATCGTACCTCTTTGTTTTCCTTTCTTCTACTTTTTCATATTTATGTCTCCTGTTTTCGCATACCTTCTGTTTTTTTGGTATTTGGATTTTCAACTGCTGGCGTATTCATGGAACATGATGTGACACTGGTTTTTCCTACAGGTAGATAAACAATGAAGTACTGGTGCCTTCGCACGGCATGAATATGCCTGCAGTTAATGCCAACAGCAGTTCAACGACAGCAAGTAGCAGCGGACGGGAGGAGGGTCGTATTTAATAGAAATTTCACACAACGCGATGGCGTACCTTGCCTTACGACATTCACTACCTACACGACAAATCGAAGTTCGACCAAAATTTCGGCTTGGGCAGAGACTTGTTCCTCGTGACGTTCTGACCCCCTGAACACGAATATCACATCCATTTGAAGCGAAAACAACCGGCTCGCTCATTCATGGGCTCTCAACAACTATGCGAAAATTGCTTGGTGCCAATGTTTTCAAGGCGAAGGTTTTCAAACTAAATGGGCGTAGTACTCTCAGCCTGGATTTTGAACTGCCCCTAGAAAGCTTCCATGTGATATTCGTATTCAAGGTGTCAAACTACATCCAGAAACAAGCTTCTGAGCAAACTTCCAGTTGTCGCATAGGCAGTGAATGTTACAAGAGGCGGATAGTGACCAAATCCATACTTGATCCTTACTTAACCTACTTGATCTACTTGCTCTGCTGAATCATCAATTCGGAGAAATACCGAAAATTGCAGTGAAAGCTCTTACTGGAGCAAAAGGAAAAGTACCCGCAACACCGAGGAGCGAACCTCTGGGATCTTGGCTCTGAAACGATAGAGTTACCACTAGGCCACGACGGCGCCGACATACGAGGTTCAACAGCGCTCACATGCCAGCACTGCATTTACAGCAAGCTTTGACCACCTACAACTCGCTTGAGAGATCCCCGTAACACTTTCAGGCTGCACATTCGCAATCAGCATTCGACTATCACAATACCTCGGTCTTCATTCAAGTTCCACGGGAAGCTGAAACCATACCCTTGTCAGGGCGAATTTCAGCGAGCACAAAATAGGACGAGACTTCGGGGTGCAATAAAAAGGATGGTACATGACACGGCCACGATGTAGAATACTGTTTAGTGGCAAAATAAAAGGGGCCAAGAGACTGCCTATGCAGGGTGCAGGCCACATGAGATCACGTAAGAAACTTGAGAAGCAGGAGAACATTAGTGATGAACACACAAGCTACCTCTGCGCAGATCGTGCCAGACATTGGAAAGAGTCCGAGCCGAGGAATTATCCAGATGAAGACCATCCGCAGATAAGAACATCCCTTTCTATAGCTATCACTTTTACTTTCTTTTTGCTTTACTATCGACTTGACCACGGACCCATTCTTCTGCTTCTATGTTTTCAGCATTCATTTTCCTTTGAAGCTCGTCTTCTTCTTTCATATGTGCTATCCGTGTCCGGACCTAAAACAATTCATTCTGGTGTCGGACGTCGCTAATCGCTGAATTTTTTGCCGCAGTTCGTGAGCGGATTGGTGGTCGTGATGTATTCCTCTGCTGAAGGGGCAAAACGGTTTTACTGGAAGTCGACTCGGCGTAAGTCTAATCGGGGAGGGGGGTGGGGGGGTGGGAGGGCATTCGGTTACGCTCTGCACCTTTCTACTTTAGCTCAAGGGTTATCAGCTTGAAGGATATGACAATGCAGGCCCATACATCATTCGTCGGCAGAGACGAAGTCTCCGTTAATCACACCCATTACACCTCGATTGAGGAAAGGACAGAGGCACAGCCGAGTGTACGCTGATCAGGGAATGGCCGGTAGGTTTGGGCACGAAGCCCGGCGAATAAGGTATTTTGTCGCGGGAGGGAGGCCGGGGGGGGGGGGGTCGTATTTGTCTTACCCTTAGAAAGGAATGTTTTGATCAGTGACTTTCCTCGGTCTGCCGTTTCATGTGCGCAGTATAGCCCCGACCACCCCCATTCCAATTTCGGTTGAGTGAAAAAGTTGTGGAGTTTCACGGGAAACTTCCGAAAACTGGTATTCAGGCAGGATGGGAAAAGAGGGTTGTAGCGGAACAGGTATTGAGAGGGGTCAGTACTGGAATACTGCATGCAATAAGCCCGATCAAACTGGTTATATTTACGATTTCACTAACTGAAACAACGAACCGCACCCCGCCCCTCAAGGTTCTCGCACTAAGATCAACAACCGCGGATTCGAGTCCGTCGAACGCATAAACATTTTTCAATACAACTTTTCTTTCTGTAGAAATCCACATATTTGGCTACAAAATGGATACCCTACCTCGTCCGGATAGTAACCTCTGAAAACAGCCTCGTCTGCACACCATTCCATCGCGACGTAGGTGTGAAGAAGTAACTAAACAAGCTTCGTAAGGAATTGAATATATTCGCTATCTAGTAGGATGGGGCGTAGTTCGGGCTTATGGGAGCAATCCCGTGGTACTCAGCGAATACTGTACAGACTTTGTGATAGACATCTCAAGTTCTTGTAACCAAAATATAGCTCACCTTGTACGTCACGTCGCCAGCTTCGATCGTAGTCTGCACACATCACCAAGAATGACGTCTATTAGGTAACACCAGCTAGCAAAGAATGGGTGCCATCCGCCCGCCCCAAAAAAAAAGAATGTACCCGAATCCGACAGCCCAGATGCGCAAATGTCATCCACAAAGCCGGAGCGCGTCAATGTTTCATCTGCGTCGTCGTCTCTGCAACACTAAGACCCTAAACGCGAAAGCAGTCAAAAATACGCAGTCATCACCGCCGCGTGGTCTGGCTAGGTAGTTGGCAACGCTCTCTTCCACGCCGAACTATTGGAAGGAAAAACAACGTGCGTTCACACGCACGGGTCTATCATGTCGAGAAAAAACCACTCACCAAAGGGAAACGTGAGTGAAGTAGCAAAGAAACTCGTTCGGGATTCTGCCCAATGATTTCTGGACTTCTTCGGGCAATTCTCGATAATGATGTTTCTTGTTACGCATGGCACGTAGGAGATCCCTCACGGAATGTCCTTTGTATGTTGTCGGAGAATTTTTCAGATCCTGAAAAATTGAATAAATCTCATTGATGTCATAATGTTATTATGACTAGTATTGCCCAGTACATGACATCCTAAGCATGCCATTATAAACCAGCTATTCTTCTTAACTTGAAGACTTCACACACACTTTAGGACGTTTGCGCGAACTAAGTCTGAACGCAGCCTGGTAACCAACTGTGCGACCTTGGTTTCCAGACTGCTTCAGAGTTAGAGATCGCGCCGTGGAAGTCCTGGAAGCGAGCCATAAAAAATATACCGTACGTTTGACGACATTATTTTGGTGTAAGGCAGTTCGGCACTTCGCGATGAGCGTTACCGTACTCAGATCAGAGCCGGCCGATGTTGTTCCAAGAGATGTATCAGATGAACAGGATGGGTTAGGCGATTTTGTCACAGTACGGTGTCGGAAGGCGCTGATCGCCACGTTTGCGAGAGTATGAGAAGATGGGAGCGTCCCGAGCTATTGAGTGAACCCCACCCGTCTGCCTCCTGGTTGTATAGTACCTCTCAAAATACAGGCGGCCGGCACCGATCGATACCTTCCTGCGAATGCGTTTCCGTTTATAGCACTGAAGCGCCATTGTGCTGGTAGCGCGTCGAAGCGCGTCATCGCGAAGCCTGAACGCTTCCGAAGATGCCGCTTCACAACTGATCTGACGGCAAAGTGCTGTGTCGAGTCAGCGAAGTAAAATGCTGGCTTGAGCAACTACTGTACAACGTACTCTTACGTTTGTTTTAGATGCAATACACCACGAACATAAAAATAACTACTGAAGAAAAAATCAAAAAGTGATCGGAACTTTACTGAGCTGCAAAGAGTCAAGAAATATTTATTCCCCCCGGCCAATTTCCTTTCAACTATAAGCGAGATTTTTCTCCAACGACGGACAACTGCACCTTGTGTCTTTCGATCTATCTTATTCGGCTCAGATATCATCCTTAATAAAGATTTTCAACTTGGAAGCCTCTTGGAGATGCAAACAGGGTACCCGAAACTCTTCCGTTTAGTAGGTTTATTTTACAAGCACATCTCGAAAGTGTAAGTCATCTAAGGTACTCACCTAAAACCGCAAATAATGAGCAACTGCGGAAAATCCAGGAATCACGGAGAATTTCCGAAAAATCGCTGTAAATAAACCTAACGCGGAGTTTCGGTCTAGATTTATGCGTGGGCAATGAATTTTCCGAACCAGAAACCAAATCGTGGTAGGAACGCCCTCTATGACTTTTGTCTACCCAATTCGGTTTCGTATATGCACCCCATATCCCGGAGATAGAGGGAGTGGCCGCCAGGGCACAGCGTTGTTGGGGATCTCCCAACGAAAGGGGGTCGTATTTGATCCTAGAAAAAAATTTATAGTTGATTTTTCTTGGTCGACGGACGCTGTAAAGGGGGGAGGGGAAGGAGGGTCGTAATTGGTCGCTGTTGAGAGGGAGGTGGTCGTATATAGCTCCCGACCTTCAGGGAGAGGTCGCTGATTTTCGTTAGTTTTTCCTGCTTCATGTGTAATACGTACCCCCCCACCCCCTCGCACCCCTTGCTCGATGAGGAGGACCGAGGGGGGGGGGGGGTCGTACCAACTCAAAAAAGAGGGGGGGGGGTCGTACGGACTCGATCAAAATCCCCAACTAATGATGTGCCCTGGTGACCGCCTACTTCATTTGGACGCGGAGTTTGGGCTTTTGCTGCGTTTCTGGTAGGGTACTGCGGTTTGGGACAATTGTGAGCAGTTATCCGCTCAGAACAAGATAGAGTGGCAATTGTCTCAAATGGAATTATCCACAATCACATCCCATACCATGTCCGAATGAAGCTGTAGCCACACCCACTCTATCTCTGGGATATGGAGCAGGAAGCAAACTGGATGTCTGACTGAAAATAGACGGAACTATAGTCAGCATGACTCAGATCAGTTGCTGTCTGCCGTTTTCGATTTCTCAACTCCCGGATGCAGGCAGGAGTGCAACGCTCTGATTGGGGGAAAATTCGAAGAAAAAACATGGCTACTATCGACCTCGCTTCACCGCTAATTGCTGGATTGCTACAACTACTAATTCACTCGCACTCGAGAAAAAACTTTGTTGATTTGCAACAGTTCCAACTATTAGCAGTCGCAGATTAGCAGGTTGATAACAGTCGCGTTTTTCCTAGATCGCGCGACTGAACCATTCATTCGATTCAGTTCGCGAATAATAATGCAGGCCTAACAGCCGCGCGCGATGGCAGTTTGCTAGAGCGCGAGATTGTATCGACATTTGAGAACCCCTCAACAATCGACTTACAGCGGTGATGAACTCTGTACGTCCACGCACCCTACGGTATAAACACGCTTTTGTTCGCTGCTGATCAAGGGGCGTGACAGGCGGGATGGTTTTGGCGCGGCATCAAACCCGTTTTCCACCAATTGTTGAAGCAAGCAAGCGACAAGACGCATCATATCGTTTGCATCTGTCGTTTTCCTCCAGTTGTTCCTGCTCACTCGTTTCAACAACCGAAGAGGAACGGGTTGGAGAGCCGCGCTAAGCTTTTTCTGCCGTCACACTCCTTCAGCCGCAGCGAACAAGACTATACTACCACATAAAACGTTCGCAAATAAATAAGAAAATATTCATAGAAAGATATACCCCGAAAAATTGCAATCGCCTTTCAGGTTCCCAAAAGAATGGATGAGCCAGCACAC